GGGAGCGCCGCCGCACTTCCCAAGCGGCGCACTATCCAGTGTGCCACCAGGCCGGCCCTAGAACACAAGTTTTAAAGTCAGATCATCTGGGTGTAAATCTTGATCTACCACTGATCACCTTAATCTTGTTTGTCATCCTCCCTGAGGCACAGTTTTCTCACATTTTGTAAAATGGAGATAATAATGTCTACCACCTCATGTTACTGTGAAGAATAAATGAGACAGTCTATGTGAAGACCTAGCACAATGCCTTGCTCTAGCTTTGTGGAGATATTGGCAATAATGATCGCAGTTGTGCTGTGATGAAATTGTTGGGGGCACTGGTTCCTTGCAGATAGCTGTGGTAGCCCTTTTTACCACTGCTCTTTTTTCAGGTTGACTTCCCATTCCAAACTCAGTTATATCAAAGTTATAGTGACAAATTCTCTTTGTCTTTATTCTACCTTCATTGTGTTAAAGTAGGCCATTTTTATACTATCACAGAGCAAATAAAACTGACATGAATTTCACAATTTACAAAGCTGATACTGTCTACATTGGGAAGTTCTATCCTGTTCCCAATGGTCCTGCACTGCATGCATCATCTGCAGAGGACCCAGGTTTCCGCTCCAGAGGAGAAGTGCAGAATGTAGAAAATATTTCATTCTGTGAAGTGTAGGGAAGAGACGAGACATAGGTAAGAAGAAAAGAAAATGTCCTGGCTAAACAGACATAGTGGAAGGGCATGAGAGCAGGAAAGAAGTGGGGAGATGTGAAGTCAGTAATTTAAGAACAGTGTTTCCCAACATGTTATAAGGAGTACAAGCCCCCACAGGAATCTCCCTGATAATTCTGGAAATGCTGCACACACCAAATCCCCTGGGATAGACCCAATGCACATTAGCTTCTTATAGGTTCTAAGAAGTCTTGGAGGAAAGAAACNCCACAGGAATCTCCCTGATAATTCTGGAAATGCTGCACACACCAAATCCCCTGGGATAGACCCAATGCACATTAGCTTCTTATAGGTTCTAAGAAGTCTTGGAGGAAAGAAACCTGTGTTACTTTCTTTTACACTAAATTGGCCACAGAACACTTGTAAAGTAGCTCCCACGGTCACCTGTAGAACTAGTGTTCAGGAACACAGGAACGTGCTTTGGGAATCCCTGATTTAGAGGGTTTTGAGAGATTGTGATGGAGGGAGGGGGCTTTTGCACAAGGCTTAAGCATTAATATTCTACTAGCAGTGAAAAAAAAAAGCATTAATTTTCTATAGCATCAGTGCAGATCAAGTGTGTAAGGACAGGAAGCAGAATGCCAATGGCAGTATCTGTTAATGGCTCTAAGAACGTCTTTGATCAGGAAGCAGGACTGGGTCCATATGTGGGCACTCGCAGCAGGCTATAAAGTAGCGCCCTCCCAGCCAGGAACCTTGAAATCCTTGCCCAATGTGTGTTTAGAACAGAGGCCAAGCTCTGTGTATTGTGATGGGCATGAAGGTTGCATTGACCACCACTGTGTGTTCAGCTGCCTGGCTGGCTGAGTGGGTGTCCCTTCCTCCCCCTCTATTCTTTGTGGGTCTCACCAGAGGAGAGAGGCTTCTATCAAAATCCTATGACACAATTCCTGCCAGGCTTGTTATACTGAAATGAAAGAAAAGATTCAAAATTCCTTTGTAAACTGTGAGTGCTACATGAGCGTAGAGCTGATTATTATTACTGATATAAAATGTGAGGTGAAGGATGAAACTGTGGGTTTGGCTTTTCCCCCACCACCCTTTTCTCATTCAAGCATGAGCTGGCATGTAGTGGGTATTCAATAAAAGTAGGAATGCATGGGGCCGGCCCGTGGCTCACTCGGGAGAGTACGGTGCTGATAACACCAAGGCCACGGGTTCGGATCCCATATAGGGAGGGCTGGTTGCTCACTGGGTGAGCGTGGTGCTGACAACACCAAGTCAAGGGTTAAGATCCCCTTACCAGTCATCTTTAAAAAAAAAAAAAAAAAAGTAGGAATGCAAAAACTGATTGCATTTGAATGATTAAGCCTTAATCCCATTACTCAAGACAACACTTTTTTTGATAACTTACATAAACACCAGAGTAAAATTGGCTATTGATTGAATTCTTGTCGAACTCTCTCTTTGGTCCATCTGCACATTTCTATGATCTTTTCTTTTCTTTTTCTTTTTTTTTTTTTTTTTTTTTTTTTTTCGTGACCGGTAAGGGGATCACAACCCTTGGTGTGGTGTCACCCGCACCGCGCTCAGCCAGTGAGCGCACCGGCCAGTCCTATATAGGATCCGAACTCCGAACCCATGGCAGGAGCGTCGCTGCGCTCCCAGCCCCGCACTCTCCCGAGTGCGTCACGGGGCCGGCCCATCTATGATCTTTTCAATGTTGGAGACAAAACATCTTGGATGCCAAAATATTCAGTTTTGACTAATGTGACTGTTTTCTTTAACAGGTTGGAAAAGAGGAATCAACATTTGTAAATATCAATAAGAAATCCAGTCTTCAGGACGCTAATGTAAGGTCTGTTGCTTCCTGTCTGAATGGGGAAATATACTCTGTATCATCATTATCCTTGAAACATTACTCATGAGGGCATTTGCTGATAAAAATCAGAGTGAAAAAATAAAACTGAGAGAATGTGGGTCCAAAGAGATTAAAAAGAAGACTGGCTTCTTCAACTTCCTTTAAGCCTAAAAAATGCTGCTTAGCTCAGTTTTAATATTTCTACCTGCTGTACTAATAAGGACGTTAACCACTTCGGGATTAATGAGACAGCTCTCAAAAATGTAGATCTGATCTTGTCATTCCCTTCCTTAAAGTCCTTTAAAAGCTCTGTTTGCTCTCAGAGTGGAGTCCAGACTCCGTAACAGAACACAAGAAGTCCTTCACGACCTGGCTTCTGCTCCCTCCCAGCTCAGTTCTGCACTCTTCCCTTGGCCCATTGATGTGCTCCTCATACTGAGCTTACCAAGCTCCTTGCCAGTCCTGAAACCACAGATGTTTTTTAGAGCTTTCATCCCACCAACACCCCAATCCTAGAGGCAACCCATCCTCCCAAAATTGCACAGAAAGCAAAAACTCTTCCTCTCTCAACCCAGGTTGGTAACAACCTATAGATCATGGCAGCTTCATTGCTACCTTGGTGGTCTACTAACACTGGCAGGGTCTCCCTAGGGTAGAGTTTCTAAAAATGGATCCAAGAACTATTGCATCAGTCTCTTGTTAAAAACAGAATCTTGGGTCCTACTCCAGACCCTTGGGGGGGGGGTAGGGTGCCTGTGGGGACAGGAGTCATCATTTTAACAAGCACCGCAGGTGATCTAGAACCACTGCCCTGAGGGATTCTTATACTTGATGCTAAAAATAAAAGCTAACAGTTCCCTACATCACCTTATGATTCCCAGTCTATGTTCTTGGTATAAATTTGTCTTATTCCCGAGGTACATACCCAGCTGCCTCTAAGACCTTTCAAAAACTTAATTCATCTCTTCCCACCCCACCCCACCCATCTTGGTGAATGGCCTTATTACCTTCCCCTTGCCCAGGCCTAAATTTTGGGAGTCCTTGATTTTATCCTACCTCATCCCCTCACCTGATTGGCCACCAAGTCCTGCCAATTTGACTTTGGTCTTATTTCCCACATCCGTCCTCTTTCTTTCATGACCGTAATCCCTGTCTACCTCGAGCGCTCATCATCTCTCTTCTGGGATTACCACTGCAACAGTCTTCCAGAATGATCCTGGCCTCCTTTCACCAGCGTGCTGTTCAGTGCTCTCAGGACCTTTCTAAACTGCGAGTCTGAGTATGCCACGCCCTTGCCTAAGACCTTCAGAGATGCCGCCGGGGCTGCCGCTGCCTGCGGTGTAAGCTCCTCAGCCTGAGGCTGCTCGTGACCTGGTCCCTGCAGGTTGAAATCCCTGTTCTTTCACTGGGACCTTACCCTGGAGCAGTTTCAGTGCCCTGCGTTCAGCCTGGTCTCCACTCTGTCTCCCACCTTGGTGGTTTTCCCTCCATCTAGTTGAGAGTCAAGCCCTCCGTGAAGCTTTTCCAGATACCAACCATTCCACCCAAGCAAAGTCATGTGCTCCCTGGCTAGATTTGGGAGTTCTTGGGTCCTTACTCCAAACCTTTCGGATCCTGTGTTTGGGGGGTGGGGGTACTGGCAGGGACAGAAATCAGCATTTTAACAAGCACCCCAGGTGATCTAGGGGTTCCAGCTTGAGGAAACCATGAATGTAGAATGGGTTGACTCCAACTCCTTATTTGCTCATCCACGCGTTTGTTCAACAAGTGTTTATTAGGCACTGGCCTATCACATTAGTCCAGTTATTAGGCCACAGAACTATCACCAAATTAGGCACTGAATAGAAGAGAAAATGGAGGCCCAGAAGTGTCCATTTTTTTGGCAGAGGTCCCTTGTTGAGGACCTCAACTAGTTTTGATTTGGTCCTAGAAGGTAATAACTGTTTTTTAAAAAATGAAATTAGTCATGACCACTACAAAAATGTGTTACAGTTTTTCCTTAAAAATCATTGTTTTGAGCAGGGCCCAGATAACCATCTGGCATAAATTCTTGAGGAAAGATAAAAGTGAAACTTAATTTGTAACATTTTTACATGTGCATAGAGTTAAAATGTTTTAGAGCCACTCCTAAAGATCTTCTGATTATGCGTTTTTTTCACATAAAATATACAATGGTTTTTTATCTTTTTAAAAAAATATATTCTGTGCTGTGTTTTAAATAGCATAGCTACCAGATCACTTGGAAGTAAAAACAGCTTACCCATAGGTTTCTCTTCACTCAATTTATTAACAAAACCGGATTATGAATCAAATCCTCATATTGGGGGTGGGCAGGTGGCTGTTTGGGGGCAGGGAAATTTTATTTGGTTCCCTTATTAAATTTAGTTTCCTACTTGTATTTTCTTTCCTATTTTTTTTTTTTTTTTGGTTTTTGTTTTTGTTTTTGGATTTTCTATAATTTTTAAAAATAATTGTGATAATTAAATAAGTAGAGAAGAGAAGAAAAAAATTGGATTTCTTGACTGTCAATGGTATTAAGGTATAAATTAACTGAGAAGGCAGTCTCTTATGGCCAAAACAAGACAATACACCTTTTTTGTTGTTGTTCTGTTTTTTCTTTGGTATGTTTCTAGAAGTCCTATTCCTATACGTGTGGAAACTACCCAACCAGCTGTGGAAAAGCCGGAAATCAAGCCTCCCCGAGTGAGGAAGTTAACAAGACAGTATAGTTTGTGAGTTCTGTACTGCAAGTTTTTCAATTGTAAGAACTACAGTGATGCTAAATGTTCGATTATAAATGTTTCTTAGCCCTTCAGATCATTCCCAGCGAGCCATCCCCTAAATTCCGTTTATTTCCAATTTAGGTCATAGTGGGACTAGACCTTTCTCCCCGAAAACATTACATAGTTGGCATATGTGTTTATTATCGATTGTGGTATAACCAATTACTCTAAAACTTAGTGTCTTGAAACAATCCACACTTATCGCTTCACAGTTTCTGTGGGTTGGGGGTCTGGGCACAGCTTAGCTGGGCCTTTTGTGTCTGGGTCTTTCACAAGGTGCCATTCAAAGTGCCAGTGAGAACTGTGGTCTCATCTGAAGACTCATTCACGTGGTAGCTGACAAGATTCAGTTCCTTGAGGGCCAGGGGGCTGCGCTTGCCCTCAGTTTGTCATCACGTAGGCTTCTCTAGCTGTCTCTATCAGGGAAAACACACAAGAAGAGCCAAAGAGAGAGTGCTAGCAAGACAAAAGTCACAGTCTTTTGTAATCACAGAGATGTCATCTCATCACTTTGCCATATTCTATTCATTAGAAGCAAGTCTCTAGATCCAGCACACACTCAAGAGGAGGCATTACGTGGGCAAGTGAATACCCGGACAGGGATCACTGGGGGCCGATCAGAAGCTGCTTTCCTCAGCACATTGGTAAAATGGTAGCATGAACAGTCAAAGCTAATCATGGACCTATATGGGACCTATAGGGGGTGCCATATCCCAGAGTGTCCCAGTCCAGTTCTGTTTGGCCTAACAAGTCTCTTGGCTGTGGTGTGCACTGGTCTGTTCTAGGCATTGTCAGAGAACAGCAAAGTGACTTTGAAAATTCCCATCCAAAGACTCACAGTTTATTGGAGAGAAAGTCAGAGTCACAAATAACTATAATCCAAAGAAGGCAGATGAATGCTATAGTGAGGAGGTGGTGGTATTTGTAATAGTTGTAGTGCTGATCACCATGGTAGTTCCATTTCTTGACCTTGGCTGTCACCCAGGGCCTGTGCCTGGATGTGTCATTAGTCAGAGAGCTGTAGGGGGGAATCTTTGGATGCAAGGGAAAGCTTGGAGGCTCTGGAGTTCGGAAGGCTTCTGTTAGGGCCCTGGCCGGTTTACAGCAGCAAGCTCTTGGGAAAATTGCTCTTTGAGCCTTTCTTTCTTCACTGATAAAATGGGTGAGATAATACCTACCTCTGAGGGATTTTGTGAGGGTTAATACAAGGCAATTTGGGTAAAGCCCCTAGCAAGGGGCCTGGCCATATAGGACCTGGAAGCTCCTGAGAGAAGGTCAAGTTTAGGGAATGCCCAGAGTGGAAAGCGTAGGACAGGGAGTGTAACCCCAGATGCAGTTCTCAAACAGCCATCTCAGGCCTGCCATGTGCACCTTGTGAAAAGAGGAAGAGGCGTGCAGGGGGATTTTAAGGGCAGACAAATCCCACCTCATTAGCCTTAATAGAACCTTCTGGACAGTATAGCACCTGCATTTCCTAAGAAAGCCAAAATGAGTAAGGTTCAAATAATTAACAGTCCTAATGATCTCTGGGGGACAAATTAAGCCACCCAAATCTGCTTCCCTGAGGACAAAGCTGGCGGCCCTTGCCCTTTCCTTTGCATTCTGAAACTCAAAATGTTATTATCACCCATTTAGGATATGCAGTAATGTTTGAAACAATGACTAACTGATACATGGCCTGGAAGGAAAGAAAATTTCCCTAACTCACCAAATCGGTTCTTTTAAGGAAACCCTTTTCAAACCTCTAACTTCACATGTGTATTTCTTAAGCTGCCCCAAAGTATTCTCATTCAAAAATCAAATAATGGCAGCATTTTCTCCATTAGTAGACAATAGAAAAAATAATGTATTGGATTTTCCCCTTGTTAAGTTTTTGTCCCACAAATAGTCCTTGAATCCTTGACACTGGTTACCACTCATTTGCTCTTTTCTTTAACTCATAGGTATTGATGAAGTTGATCAACACGGGGTCAAGGAAGACCCGTGGGAAAACTCAGATTTCTGATTTTCTGGAAATATTTTATACATTACCGTTTTTGAGATACTGATGCGTGCGCACACACAGCTCGTCTTGCTGTTATAATATTCTTAATTGCTAGGCTGGAATTATGTGTGTTTGGATTTTAGGTTGTTCCACCAAGAGTATTATAACAGTGAGGTGCTCTGAGCGAGTTATCAACCCACTACTTTTAGGAATAAAAACAAAATCTCAGCCATGTTCCTTCTTGGAAATAAGACAGGGAGGAAGACTGTGGCTACTGCATGCAGAGAAGGGAGAAGCAGAGGAACTCTGCAAAGAGTTTGAGGCAGGTGACAGTGCCATTTTTATTCTGATACCAGCTAATGTGTTTAGAAAATAATAAGCTGCTCCATTTTTTTCCAGAAATATAACTTCACTATTTATTTCAGCATAGTATGAAAAGTCTTTAAAAATTCAGTAGGCATGGGCCGGCCCATGGCTCACTCGGGAGAGTGCGGTGCTGATAACACCAAGGCCCCGGGTTCGGATCCCACATAGGGATGGCCGGTTTGCTCACTGGGTGAGCGTGGTGCTGACAACACCAAGCCAAGGGTTGAGATCCCCTTACCGGTCATCTTTAAAAAAAAAAAAATTCAGTGGGCAAAGACAGAAAAGTCCACAGAGAAAAGTAACCAATTCCCTAGAATCTGCCATCAAAAATAATCAGTATTCACAGTTGATGTCTGTTACATTAGACACGTTTCTGTGCATACGTGTTGTTAAAAAAAGAAATAATTTCAAAGCAAAGATCATTCTATACATAAAATTCTACTTATGAAAATGCTGTTTTGTGGATTTAACATGAATTTACCTCAGAAAATGAGGCAACATTGGAAGACTTGCTGAATTTTAGCTATGTTTCTTTGTCATAAGATCTAAGTTAAGACAAAAGATTATAAAAACTGTGAAGCATTTGGAGTCTTTTAAATTTTAGACAGTATCAGTTGACAACCTGCTGTGAAAGATGAGCTATGTTTTTAAAATGGCCTTTTATTTAAAACTAAATAATTATGTCTTTAAGTTTACAATTTTTAAAGACGAAGTAAAAAATTTACCCCACTCCTCCACTTAAGTAGCTATGTGACCTTGAGCAAATAATTCAGTAATCAGCCACTGAATATCATCTGATTCTCTGGACAATGGAGATCATAATACAGGGTTGTTATGAAAATTAAATGGGCAAATGCATGTGAAACTGATCTGACCTGTTTCATCAATGTAGATTCAAATATGTGATGTCATATTAAGTTTTCCACATACTTATTCAAACCTCGCCTTTCCCCCTTCTTAGTAATAAATCCTAAATCCTCCTCTTGAGGTTTCTCCATACATGGAATGATCTAAAATCCTGTAGGGTCCTCCACAGCCAATCATATCCACACTGCAGCTGTGTCCTGTGGCCACATGAGGCCCTGCACAGGCCATGTTAGGAGCCCTGCACAGGCCACATGTGTGCCCACTGGTCACAGGTCTTTTATCTACACTCTTGAGCTCGGCTATCATTTCTAAAGCACAGGCTATGTGTCAAGATGGCTTTAGAAGTTCCACATGGAAGATCTTTAAAGGCAGTGTGCCAGGGGTCCATCCCTAAGACCACCCTCAAGAGTGGTGATTCACTAAAAGGACTCACAGAACTCAGAACAGCAGTTATGAGTGTGGTTAACAGTTTATTACAGTGGGGGCCGGCCCGGTGGCGCACTGCTATAGTGTGCCGCTTGGGAGTGTGGTGGCGCTCCCGCCGAGGGTTCGGATCCCACATACAGACCGGTTCCCGCTCACTGGCAGAGCGAGGTGCAGGAGCAATACCGAGGGTTGCGATCCCGTTGCCGGTCCCAGTCCGGTGCGGGTGCAACACTGAGGGTTGCGATCCGTTGCCGGACACGGAAAAAGAGACAAAAAGGAAAAAAAAAAAACAGTTTATTACAGCGAAAAGACACACAGTAACATCAGCAAAAAAAAAGGGCACACAGGATGGAGTCCAGGAAAAACAAGCACAAGTTTCCTTTGTGCTCTCCCTGTGACAGTGATTACTTCTCACAGCAACAATGTGTGACAACATATACGAAGTGTTACCAACCAGGGAAGCTCATCCAAGCACTAAAAACCTTGGCATTCAGGGTTTTTATTGGGGGTCAGTCATGTAGGCATGAAGTACCCACATGACTGACCTTGGCTACTCAGTCTCCAGCCCCCCAGAGGTCAAATTGATACAGCATGGCCCAAAATCTCAGGCATACAAAAACAGGTGTTTCACCATAAATCACATTGATAGCAAAAACTATCTGGCATGGCCCAAGGTCTCAGCTATACAAAGACTCTTAGAAGGGCCCAGAGGTTACCTCCCAAGAGCTCATCAATGCCAGTGGTTCCTTTGGAATGTGCAGGGTTTGAGTACCCCAGGGCTGCTGAGTCAACCTTTTACTGCACAGGCAGCAGGCTGGTTGGCCTTAGGGATAGGAGACTTGTCTCAATTTCTACAAGAGTGAGAAAATACTGTCCATGCTAAGAACTGGGAATCACTAGCATTTGGGCTTCCTGCCTTGGCACACTCAGTGGGAGGTCAAAGCTTCCCCCCAAATCCAAGCTCTGGAGATAAGCCCAAGATGCCAGGCCCGACTTCTCCCTTATGGTGGCTTCCTGCCTAGGTCATCTCATTTTATTAGAGAGGTTCTAAGACCAGAGCTACTGGGCCCCAAAACAAATGTGCCCAACTCCTGCCCTGTAACCAGTTTATTACACCAAAGGGACAGTTGCTGTTAGGCCATAGAAGGTGCCATTATACCTTTGCTCAGAGCAGTGGGTTCCTAAAAGCCTCGTATTTACCCACCTAAGGGAAGCCACTCAAAATAACATCCCTTGGTTTGGTGGTTTCTCAAAAAGTTAAACATAGGCGTACCATATGATCGATCCACTCCTAGGTGGAATTCCAGTCCAAAAGAACTGAAAGCAAAGGAGTCAGACAGATATTTGTACACCAGTGTTCATAGCAGCATTATTCACAGTAGCCAAAAGTCGGAAACAATCCCAGTGTCCATCAACAGATGAATGGATAAGCAAAATGTGGTACATCTATATGATGGAGTATTTTTCACCATAAAAAAGGAATGAAATTTTGATCTATGCTACGACAAGGATGGACCTGGAAAACATTATGGTGAGTGAAATAAACCAGACCCAGGAGAACATATGTTGTATGATTCCACTTATAGGAGGTACCTAGAACAGGCAAATTCATCGAGACAGAAAGTAAAATAGATGTTACCAGAGGCTGCTGAGAGGAGGCTTTGGGAAGTTCTTGTCAACAATACAGAGTTTCTGTCGTGTTGATGAAAAAAGTTTTGGGGATAGATAGTGGTGATGGTTGCGCAACACTGTGAATGCATTTGTACACTTAAAAATGGTTAAAATGATAAATATCAGGTTATGGATATTTTGCCACAATTTAAAAAAACAAAAATGAAAAAACTCTGGCAAGTGACAGAAAATCCAGCCCAAATTTGCTTTGGCAAAAAAATGGACATCTGGTGGACATCTGTTTAGGGAGCTTCCACCCCCAGCCCTGGCTTTCCCACCCCTCCCCATGCTCCCTCCACTTCTCACAGTCTGTTTATTATTGTAATGAGCAGAGCTTCATGTGCTTTTAGTAACCGCAGTGATGAAGACGACCTTCCTCCAGACCTGGCTGAGGCAGTGGGAGTGACCCCAGCTACAGCCACAAACACTGCAACTGCCGCCACGCAAGTCTCAGTACCACTGGCGTCCCCCAAGGTCCAGAAAGTCTGCTCGCCTCAGAAGTCAGAAGGCAAGGGCCAGCTGTCCCCAGGGGCCAAGGTATGGGAAAAAACCCTGAGGAGTAGCTGCTCTTGCTAGGAATTCAGTATCAATGTAGTCAGTGGCATCTGGGGTGGGCATTTAAATTTTTCATAATCAATTGTGTGCAATCATAAAACAACAGCAAGAACCACCAAACATGTTTTTATATAACCTGTCTGCAAAATATAAGCCAACCATTTGTGAGAGAGCTAGTATAATATTGTATAAAACTAAGTATAAAACCAAGGACAATTTTGATTTAGAATATTATCCCTACATAAGCTATTACTGCGCTGTAAAGATAGAAAATGAGAAACATTTCCCCTTATAGTGGACAATTTGGAGGAGTAAGCACAAAGAAGTGTCTTCGTCCCATTCTTTATATTGGATAGCCTGTGTTAATAGCTTGAAAATGGGAAGTATTATTCTATTTGCCAGTTCGCAATGTCAGGAAATCGCCAGAGATGTGAATGGGCTGTGACAAAGGCCTTACACACAATGTCTGTCTTGAGTGACCTCTAGCTATGGTTGCTCTTGGGCAATTGGGTCCAAATACAGTCAAACCTATTGCTATCCCAGTGGATGGTGAGTCAAAGGTGGCTTTGGTCCAAACAGCCACCCTGAGCAGAGGTATGTGTATGGGGCGGTGCCCTTGAGGGCAAGACCAGAGCCCCAGAGTCTGTTCCCAGCTCCTCCATTCACACGCCTCGTGACTGCTCTTTTTGAGAGCACTTCCAAAGCCCTTGTTTCTCCAAGCCTCAGTTTCCTCCTCCTAAAAATGGGAATAAGATCTGCTACCTCGCCCAGCTCATGGGCTGGCTTTGGGTCCAGCGGAAGTGTAAGTTCTTGTGCAAAGTGGACGCCCGAGTCTTCTGCAGCTTCAGGGATCAAGGTTCCTGGTAACATCTAAATAACAACAGTCTAGGCCCACTCCCTGCCTGACCAAGGCCAGTCTTTCACCGGGTCCTTTTCCCAGGTGTCTCTGGGAATACCTCTGTGTTCCTCACAAAAATTTGGATGGACCCCTCAGCCAGTGACTGGCCCAGACGGAAGCTCTCTGCTTCTCTGTAGACCAAATCCTGGCCCCTCAAGTTGGCTTCCCCTCTGCTGTGTCCCCTGTATTGCTTTGTTCCATGTGTGGACACAGGTTCCTATCATATACCGCACAGCTTGGTTGAAACCAAGCTGAAATACTCACAAAACAGAAGGGAGCTGCGGCGGAGGGGTGGGGTAGACGCACAAAGGCCACAGGGCTCCCCTCTCCCGGCTGTCTCCCTCCTTGGGACCCTGCTTGCACCAAGTTGATGGGGCTCATTTTTTCTCCCTCAAAGGGCTTCAAGGCAGCTAAAACCCCAGAGCAGAAGAACAAAATATTTTCTTATTTATTTATTTTTTTTTGTCCTTTTTGTGACCAACCGCACCATGCTCAGCCAGTGAGCGCATCGCACCGGCCATCCCTATATAGGATCCGAACCCGCGGCAGGAGCGTCGCTGTGCTCCCAGCGCCGCACTCTCCTGAGTGCGCCACGGGCTTGGCCCAGAACAAAATATTTTCTAAAAACAAGGAACAAAAATTTCAAGGTGCCACCCACCCACCATGAAGATTTTCATTACTGCGCAGATCTGTCTAGCGCCTGGAGGCCAATCGATCCTCCTGATCCAGCACAAAGTCCTGGCTCTCTCTCTATAGATTCAGAGGACTCTTTAAAGTGTTTTCTCCCAAATGACCAGTCAAACAGCACTCAGAGCACTTAAGAAAAGTTGTTTGCCACTTTAAAAAGGACAGTTCCCACACCACACCCTGCTTCTACCCATGAAGTTTTCAGAAAAAATTAGGGTTCAGTCTCAACATTTCCTACAATGCTGAGCAAGGGAAATATGGAGCGGGGTGGGGGGCAGTTGGCATGCTAATGAGTTCAGTGTTAGAAAGGGGGTAGAGGAGAGGTTGGGAACCTCTGTCTTTTCTGGTAAATTCCATTGTCAATCCAGAGCTGTCACTGACCAGAGATATCTTTGTCTGCCTTCATAGAGCCCCTCTGACCGAGGAGGTGCCTTTACCCTGGAACCAGGCGATCTTCTGATGGATTTCACAGAAGCCACTCCTCTGGTAAACTTCCTATTTTGCTAAAACCAGAAAATGCACAGACCATAGACACATGTTGGTGGTGGGGTGGATGGACAGAGGTGGGCACTGCTATTGAGAAGGCTCTTCTTATCCTGCAGGCTTAGGGATCAGCTCTTGTCGAGGGTTCAGGTACCAGGGGTCCCTCCACCTCCCAGAGCCCCTGAGGGGCAGGTGCTCCCTGTCCTCTGAGGGTGACTGCAGGGGTCCTGACCCCACCTGTCTGCTGCTCCTCAAATGCTGTGGGCCTCCTCCGTGCTTGGCTTCTTGGGCTGTGCCCTGCATGCCCTCCCATGGGGCATCTCTTGCTGTGGCTTCCAACAATCTGTCTGGCCTGAGGCCCTGGCTTAAGGTCACACCCCAGCTTTCCAGGCACCTCGCACCTCCCACCATTGTCCTTCCTCTGCGTACAGGTCTGCCCTTAGGGAGGTGGCCTTTGTGGGACTCCTGCAGGTGAGGCACCCTTTTTAGGGAACAGAGCACCAAACCAGGAGCCACACAGGCCAGGCATGGCTCCACTCTCTGCTCCCCTTTTTAAGAGCCTTGTCATTGGATAGTCACTGCCCCATTTTCTATAAAATAAGAATGTCATTATGTGCCCTGTCTACCACACAGGAGTATTTTAAGAGGAGAGAGAGAGAGCTCTTCGAGAATAGAAAGCACCACAAATGCGTACAAAGTATTACTAATATTATTAGGTGACGCAAGCAAACTTGGATATGTCTTTGGCGTGCCTCAGGTAAATACCTGAGTATGCCTGAGCAGAAATCATGGTTCACAGCTTTGGACTGTGAGTCGAAATGTGAGCCAAGTCAGAAATGTGAGCCAACTCCTGGGAATTGACTGTGTGCCTGGCCATGTGCTGGCCTCTGGGGAAGCGAGGGCAGTCAGAGGCTGCAGGGGAGGCCCAGTTGACAGATGGCCAGCATGACAGAAGAGCCATGTAGAAGATGCTCAGGGAGAAGAGGAAGTGGGAGTCATTCAGGGCCAACTTGCTGGAGGAGTGTGGGGGATGGGAGAGATTTCTGGAAGGCTTTCAAGAAAGGACACATGGGGCAAAATGCTGCTCAGGCTTTAGGAATTATCACCATTCCTGGTCAGCTGGCCCAGGGAAACCATTGATACAATTGTCCTTGTCATCTGGAGAGTTGGTACAGTCAGAGCTTGAGTCAGCACCTTTGGATAAACAGCTGAGAACTGACGGTGGTTGATACCTGCTCTGAGACCCCTCAGTTACCCCGTTCCTGTGTTCAAGTAAACAGCAGAGTTACTCGTGCCTTGTTGTTAAATAAGTTGCCAAGATTGTTCACGGATGGAAGGGCACCTCTCGCCTGCCTTTCAAATAGGATCACCCAGAAACATAGGACCTTTCAGCATTACCTCATCACCCCTTTGCACAGATGGGGAAACTGAGTCCCAGAGAGAGGTAATCACACAAGAACCACGCTGGAGCTGGAACCCAGGTGTCCCTGCTCCTCTTCCAGTGTGCTATGCATCAAATTGGGCTAAATCTCATCTCCTCTTTTGGGAACTTGACACTTGGGAAAAAAAAGCAATGCCTGGAAGTAGGGCTAATTTAAAGCACTCCCCAGACTGCAAAAGTAGAACAAGGGGCATGGAGGAAGCACAGGAAGTTAGGCGGCCTGGACCTGGTGCTATATCAGTATCCCAGCTGTGTATCCAGCTGAGGCTTTGCATCCCAGGAAGACCTTGTTGTGGGAGATGGAGGCTAAACCCGAGTAGCAATCTGAAGACATCTGGTCTACCTGGAGGGCAGCATCCCCCAAAGGGGCCTGAGAACCCCTAGGGTACAACCTGAGGGCCTACAAAGGCAGAAGGAGGAGAAAGCCAAGTTCCCAGGGCCACGTTGAGGAAAACGTACCTAGCAGGAATAGAAGCCAGTGGAGGAAGATATCTCTCTGAGTTGGACGCACAGACAACGTCCAGGCTGCTAAATTATGCTGCAATGAATGCCCTGAGAGAGTCTATATGAGCTGCTGTTGCTGTGGGACCCACTGTCCAACCATGACTAGGGGCACTGGGGAAAGAAGGTTTCACAGTACCAGGGTTTTAAAGTATGAATAGGAGTTTTCCAGGTGAAGAAAGTGGGCCAAGGCTTTCTTTGCAGAAAGCACAGCATGAGCAATGTACTGAATATTCATTGAAGGGCCTAGTGGATCTGAGAACTAGGGTCAGTTTACAGAAAATACATACGTATCGTGTCCTTGAACCTCATTCTACCGGGAGAGCTAAAGCTTAATTTCAAATCAAATCAGGGTGCCTCTTCTGTCTCCCTGTGGTTTCATCTCTGTTCCCCAGGGCACAGGGAGGTGGAGATAAGTTTGTTTAGACCATGATGTCATCTGTTTGCTGATACGTCTGGGACACTCTCTGCTTCTTTCATGGCCCTTTTGAATGGGTGGAAATCACTGTCCTCCAGGGATGTGTGAATCCCTTCCTGCTGGACCTCATTCTGTCCTGGGGCCATTCTGTCCTGGAGCCTGCCCCCTCCCTAGCTTTACCTGAACAGGGGGACAGTGGTCCTCGCTGCTATTTCATGCTTGTTCCCTAACCTCAGCTCATAGAGAAGGGGCACAGGGCCCCTTTAATACTTAATGGGCCCTTAATAATTAATGCTTAATACTCACTAATGTCTGCCCCTCTCCACTTTCCCTCTGACCTTTCTCCCCTATCCTTAAACTAGTAATCTCTTTTATTTTCCGGATGATGAATCAGCTTTATACATTTTTACTATTATTTATCTATACCAAGAATCTTTCTGTTTTCCAAAGAATCAGATTTTGAAAATTAAAAGCCAAGTATCCGTAGAAGAGTGTAGCTGCCTGAATATGGAGAAGACCCAAAGAGGAAAGGAAATACCAGGAGAAAAAATAAAATGGTATTTCGAAATAGTATCCTTATTTCCTTCTCATTTGCTATGAGTCAAGAGTATGGGAGCCCCAGGAATGTTCTTTTCTTTAAATTCATTCAGACACATATTTAGAAAGGTCAGAAATGCTTGTGAGACGGATCAACACTTCTTTACCATAAAAGTGCAATGCTAGGCAAAACCTTAAGTCGCTTATTATAATCTTCAATTAAATGTCCAGTACACATTTTGGCCTCTAGTCAGTAAGGCCTTGTTTCTTGGTCATTGGTGCCAGCTTTTATTTTCTTCAAAAAATACACATTGAGTGCCTACTGTTATCAGCAGGGGCAAAGACCCGGTGGCCTGGGGTCCCTGGTGTGGTTGGCTCTGGCTCGAGCATGGATGCACTGGGGCAGTTGTGGGAACTGATCCTGGAGGGCAGGCAGGGGCCAGCCTCATGCTGGCCTCATGCACCATCTCAGGATTTATCCTGAGGACAACGGAGAGTACTTGGGAGGATTTTAAGTAGTCTAGTAAAAGTTAACTGCAGGTGACTAGTATGGACTCACTTGTCTCTGAAGAATGGATTTAGAAACAATCAACAGGAGGGTCTAGAATCACAGATTTAGACTTGCGAATGCAATTTCTACATCTCCCAAATTTGAATAGCAAAATGAGGCTGTTGTGAAAACCATTGTGAGATAATGGTTGTAAAAGTCCTTTGGAAATTGTCCAAGACTGTACAATTGTAAAGAGGGCAAGAGTTAGCTCAATTGGGAGCAGGAAAAGAGGCCTGCAATTTTCTTGATCATTTTTCAATGAAACTTACCCAGAGGCTGTATTTTATTCTTCACGGTAGGGTGATACCACTATTTAAGGAAACTCTTGAACTGAAAGATATGTGTATTTGTTCTCTGGAGCAAATGGTCCCTCTCTGAAGCCCAAACCAACCCTGCCACCCCCCCTCCCCCCAGCATCAAACATCCTCTGTCCACCATCCTCATTCTCACTGGGACAAGCTGTTGGACCTCTGCTGGGTGCATGGCACTGTTGTGGGTTAGGGTGGGGAACCCGGTATCCCATTGATGTGGTACTTTTCTCATGATGCTTGGTATCTTCTGGCTAAGCAGCCAGGTGCCCCAGTATGAGATGCCAATGAGTGTGGTAGGTGGGTCAGGACGAGGATGTTTTCTGAACACAGATAACAAAGAGCCAGGACAGGGCTGACCAGTTAGCGCATTGGTTAGAGCGCCGTGTTATAACACCAACGCCAAGGGTTCAGATCCTCTTACTGGTCAGCTGCCAAAGCAAACAAACAAGCAAAAACAATGATGTGACAAAGAGCCAGGACAGATGAAATACTAAACCCTGTGTTCCTCCCTGATGAACCTCTTCCCTGATGCTCTCTGTTGGACAGCGGCTTGCCTACACACCACGATGGGTGCCCTTATTAGCAGAGCGCAGTAGAGCACTTGGGCATGGACGGCAACTGCTCTCGAGTGTGTGACCCCTCCTCCTATGGCTGCCATGGCTGGCATCCCTAATTCATCATGGCTTTCCTTCTGGCTTGGCCTGGGCAATGCTTCAGAACACTCAACAGCGTGCCAGGGAGCCACGACCAGTCCTGTGCAGTTGGCACAGGAGACAACCTCTACCAACCAGCCTTGGGAATGGAATTTTGGTATGCCGTTC